CTTCAACTCTGCTCTCAGCGCTCACACATTTATTCCCACCAACACTGAAGGATATGCCATCTCATTTAACTCGTCAAGGTTGGAAACATCCAACCAGCCATTTAGCTCAATTATAAACCGCAGACTGAGGACAAGAACCAGCGCTGAGTTAGCTGAGATTAATAATTAATAAGCAACACTCATCCGTTATCTTTCTTTTCAAATTGAAAAAGAAACATGGTAATATTTCAAATGCAATTCTCCTGTTACTGGAAAATCAATTGTATTCACGCAGGGTTGTCAAACGCTGGGTTGCGGCCCCGATTGTGGTTCACGAAGTGAAGGTGTTCTGATGTCAAGTGGACGATTGATTTTCACTCAAAAGAAATATGTATTTTTGACTTTGAGAAGTTTTTACTGGAGTACAAGACGGAGTTATAACTGGTCTTTGTTCAGACTCGTCATATTTAAACATCTTTCACTGCCTCTTCTATTCAGTCGGACCTACAGAGCGGCCTTAGTGTGCAGCGACGTGATTATTTTTTACACATTTTTCTACCATTTTGCCAATGTGCAGCATAATGACTCTTTCTGTTAGTGGAATATTTCTCTTCTGTAAAATATAACGCTTCATAAAACAGCTGGGGTGCGACCAGGAGTTGTGAAAGCACGGGTCTCATCGTGCGACGGTTTAAGAACTGCTCTGAGGATCTGGAGGAAGTGACTGAGTTGCTGTAATCGTTGCTGCCAGCCAAAGTTTCCAAGCATTCTGATTCCAGCTGTGTGTGTTTTTTAAAAAAAACCTGATGTCTGAGTCCGGGCTGACCAATTTGTGCAGTTTCTGCATTTTGATGTGTCGTTTAGGGCGACCTAAAGGTGGCCGAAGCAGTTCAGTTTCAAAATGTGGTGAGGATCAGTCCAGTTAGTGGAAACCTTTATGGTTCTTTCTGTCTGTCGGGCAGATTTACTGCCCTCTACATGCACACACTCCTTAATTTTCCGATGTAATTCCCTTTGCAGTGAGTAAACTAACGACATGCTTTACGGTATCTGGAATTCCACACGTGATTATATGGCGTCATTTTATGAACCTGAATTCATATAACTTTCCCCCCGCTCCCCTTCTGCCCCCCCCTTCCTCCCTCCTGGCTCTGCTGTTTTTGTCATTATCTAAAGCCTGGGAGACTGATGTCTCAAACCGATCCATGCAAAATTCCTCTGACAGCTCACTGACTTGAGAAACAGCAACAAGGTGCCCACGACTAATTCATAATCAGCCTCCTTATACACCATTGCCACAGTGATTTAATTGTCCCATTTGTCACGGCTGTTGTTCCTACCAAAACAAACGTCATGATAATGATCATTTCCACTCTCTCACCCATCACGAAGCCTTCCACCGCTGATGGACTGTTTTTCAGACTCCGGATTTTTTCTTTCTTTATTTATTTTTTTTTTTGCACCGATGAATATTTTCTGTTATCTGTCACCTCTTATCTGTTGTCTTGCTTTGCCTGCTGACTCTTCCCATCACTTTCCATAAGGATGATGAGGAATATACTGAGAAAACAGTTTGCTGATGTGTTCCAGACAAAAAAAAAAAAAAAAAGAAAAAGACATGATGTAGAGAGGTAAGAGGTGTAACAGTCAATCAATAGTGCTTTGGCTCTTGACGCAGCTGTGCCTCTCTCCAGACACGCAGCTCTCAGAAAAGCCATTTGCCCACTTTTTAAAGGTATCCGGTGATATCCCAGCCTCACAGGCGGAGAACCTTTGATTTAAAGCCGCGTCCAGAGACTTATTTTTCTGAACTGTCAGACGAGCTGCAGTGTGGGAAGCTACGGCAGGTGTAGTTGATGATATGCCAGCTGAAAATGGCTTCCTCTTGATTTCAAATATTTCAAGGTGTACCTGAAAGGGAGACAGTGGCGCGCGGTCCCGTGAGGAGACCGCACGCCCTCCAACCCTTCTTTTGATAATTGCTATGCAGAAGATACTGAAAATAAATTACTGATCATCCGAGTGTTGCGGAGAGCCAACGTGTGGGGGAGACAGAATGAAGGATGAGACCCCGCTACAAACCCCTGGAAGGGAATATGCATGTGCCAGACAAACAGAAACACACACACACAGAGTTGAGGCCGAGAAAGGGAAAAAAAAAAAGAAAGCGGGAAGGAGGGAGGGGAAAAAAAGAAAGAAGCTGCATACTAAATAGAAATGCATCTAAGCACTCGCACGCAAGGATTTGCTTATGCACACAAATGCTGCAGACAGACATAAAAATATATGTGGACTATACATAGTTTGGGCTCGGGCTTATTCAGCTCGGTTCTCTAATCGCAGAACGTGCCTCGAGCAAACGTAGCACAGCAGCCCGCGTGAGACTTCCGACCGTATTTTTATCCACCATGTACCGATAAAAAAAAATAAAAAAAAGACATGCGGACATACAGAGGCATAAATGAGCGAGTGCCGGTATGGAGGCAATATGCACCTGGCCAAGTGCCAAGCACTAGCTACCACTCTCAAACCAAAACTCATTTAAGCTTCCCAGAGCAGCGTCTCAAAGGAAATCTCCTTTTCAATTCTGACATCATCTCCGTGTCTTGTTTCTCCTACACACAACACACTCGCACAATGCAACACATACAACTCCGCACACAGCAGCTCCCCTCCGTTCGCTCGGACGGCATAACCGAGGCCATATGTCTGCCGTTAACCCCGAGCGGTCGACTAACACAGTCCTTTACCAAGCAGCATTAAACTTTAATCCTTTCTTCATCCAGCGTCTCAGAAATAAGATCTGTCTCATTAGCGCCTGGCTCCAGTCCCCATGATGAATACAGGCTCGTCAGCAGGTATTGCATATAAATACATACATATTACGTTACAGTAATCATCGCGCTGACACTGCTCCACCCGCACCAACCCGCTGCCTGGTTTTGTTTACTGAGGTCTAGGGAACACGTGCGCCTTCTGCCTAAAATAGTGGCGCGGCGTTCCCTCCTATGGAGTGGTAAGCTGTTCCCTTCTCAATCCAATGTCGGGAACAAATGTGGCTTCTTTCGCCTGAAACGCGGAGCACGGCACCAACTGTGCACACTCCCGGGCCTTTGCCAAATGATCCTGCTTGGAGCTAAATAAAGCTAAAGAAAACACGGATCCGCCTGAAGAATGCGAGCTGTGCTGAACTTTGCTGAAGTAAATGGGCAAAAAAAAAAAACAAACGGGTTTTTAAGTGTCCCCTCAGACAATCGCGTCCCGCGCTAAACTTTTCCTTAGTTTAGCATCATGTTGCCGGGCTGCAAGCTGGATCTGTGAGCCACTTAGTCATAGGCTAGGTCAGGTTCTTAAATTCACAGTGTTGGACAATTATATATAAAAAAGTTGGTTAATTAATTACAGCCTTTGTGAGTAATTGATCGCTATTTGACATTAAAGGCTAACATTTTGTAATTCAAATGTTTTGTTTATTGTTGTCAGATGAATCGATGAATAGATGTGTATATTTTTAATCTGCCTATCAAATGAGATTACTGCGTCATCTGGTCTATCATGACTAGCGTTAGTTATGTTGTCAGATGAATTGATGAATAGATGTAAAAGTGAACTATCGTGACTAGCGTTAGATGTCCACTTTTGGATTGTGCATTTTGTAAACAATCACGTTGATCCAGGTTTTGTTTAACTGACATTAGTGCCCCCTACTGGGCTGCTGCGTATGCATCATTGTAAAATGGCGTGTTGGAAATGAATTTGTCTGTTAATAATAAGTCAAGGCTCTGTGTAAATGATGCAATCTTTTTTTTTTTTTTAGCGAGAGTAATATTTTTTAAACGTTGGCTAAGTCTTTTTATTTGCTTTTTTATTCATGGCATCTTTAATTGAAATGAAGTGGCCTCTTTGGCTTCCCTCCAGCTCTGCGTTTTAGTCATCAAAGTTTGACCTTTGCAGCCCATTTCATTAGCCAGGCCAGGAAGTGACAGGACCCCGGCTCTACATTAGCTCCAGACTTTGGCTCCATCCGTCCGTGGACGATGATGAGAACCATGCACTCCCCCAGCACACCTTTCTCATCTGCTTTATTTGTATTCCCAGTACCTATATGATATTTGGCAGCCTTCAGCCAATGCGGTGGTCTTACATGAGCAGCCCTGCAGAGGGAAAGGGCAATTCAATATGAAATGAGATTTTGCATTGCTCCATGTTTTGTCTGCCTCCACTCTGATCAATAAACAGGTACTAGGCTAATAGGATTTTGGAAAGAACAGGGGGAGTCTTATCTTACCTAATGCCTCGTCTCTGACAATCAACTGCACCGTAGAAGTGGACGAGAGAAACCGGAGTCGGTGAACGAGAGCGTGATTTCAGTAACTATTAGTGGCGCGGACAGATGTCCTCATTACACGCTTTCATTGTTGCTTCAACTGGTGCTAAATGCACAAAAGGATGCGGCCCCGCTGCAGGCCTGTGTGTTTAATTAGCTGACTCCGTGAGCAACAAGGACGCGGCGAACACAGAGCGCCAGGCTGATTAAAATGCATCTAATTATATCAATTTAGCTTCTATGCCTTTTCCTTTTCACTCGAATGAACCTATTGATTAGCGCCACTAAAGCACTATTGGCCTCGAACTAGCTTCCCTGAGAGTCGCTGTCCATTCAGTGCCACCACCAGTTGAAAAGAGAGAGGGAGAAAGGCACACAAAAAACAGCCACGGCAACAGAAAAACTCCTTAAATACCACGCTGCCCCTCTTCATCTGAGTGTGAAATACAATCAACACCTCTGGGGGCTGTTCATGCCAGCCATCCACGCAGCAACCCCCTGAGCACAGACTCCTACACAATCTCAAATTAAGGAAATTAAAAGTCACCGGTCCGCACCGATAATTTAGCACTATCTCATTCGAAACTGCAAACACACACTATTCAAAGTAAAGGGGTGGGGGGGCTTGCTTTTTGGCTTGAATGCCACAATGACAGTGTAATTGTGTGAAATTGGTTGCAAATGGAGAGCTCACCGGTCGAATGACCCCGGTTGGTGGCATCATGGTCACTGTCACCCTGTTCGCTGTCGCCGTGACCGCTGTCTTTGGAGCTGACGATGTCTGCTTCTTGAAACGCAGAGCTGGAAAGAGGGTGAGGGCGAGGCAAGTTAAGAGAGGGAGAGGAAGGAAGGAGGAGGAGGAGTAGGAAGGATGTAATGAGGGGCCGAAACAGAGAGAGACAAGAGAGGGAGACAGAGGGTGGGAGAGAATCAGAAATCAGAGCCATATTAATAACAGTCATGGTGGCCGTCAGCACTCTAAATTGGATGTTCCACATGGCATGTAATGAAATCCAGCATAAGGGCTTTAATAGGTGCTGCTCTGTCAGTTATGGGACTGATGCCAAATTGAAGATGAACGTTATGGATACACTGGGAACCATGGAGCCTCTCAGAGCCACAATTAACGGCGCGGAATGTGCAGGATTCAAACTGATGGGTGTAATATTCAATTTTACTGAGGTGTGAACAGGTTATGGATCCACCAGGCCCGTTGGATGTTAGAGGTCCTCTGGTGGCAGGTGGTGTGTAGCTCCCAGCTTTGCACATTATAATAATAATAATTACCAAAGGGTGAATGCAGTATCCACAGTCCCACAGTAAACAGAGAAAGAACGTGGTGGTTCCACACGTGGGCAGTAGGTGGCAGCTGTCACTGAATTCAAATATATACTGTATGTAGCTGCTGGCCTATTTATAGGCTAATTTAAAAAGGAAACACAGTTGGATTAGAAATCTCTGGCTACTTTAATCCAGGTAATTATGTCTCACTTTATTTTGATTCAGTCACTGCCCTCTGCCCCCTGCTGGATCATCATGCCACACTTTTGCCAAGCTAGGAAAAGTCATCTTTTTTTTTTTTTTAAATATCAACATTTCACACCACATTTTTTGAAATGCGTGTTTGTTGACAAACTAGTCTATAATTGGACAGTGATGGATGTAGAGACTGAAAAGCAGAGGGTTTGTACCTGTTTACACGTCTGGGTCTGTCCACCAGGTAGCTGAGTTCTGCTCGTTGGTGTTTTGTCTGCAGAAAAAAAAATGAAAAAAACACAAACAAAATCCCACATGAAACACGTTTGTTTACATCTCACGCCTTAATTATAATGACAGTATGTTTTTTCTGGCGATTATTCAGTGAGGTAACCATGATGTACACTGTTACTGTAGCTGTGACAGCGTGAGGAGTGGGGGACGACAGTACCACGCATCACCTCTGTGAACGAGTGAGGGGGCGAAAGAGAGTGTGTGTGTGTGTGTATGTGTGTGTGGTAGGGGCCGATTGAATGCGTAAATGATTGAGCAGCCCCGATGCTAAAACTGAACAACCTTTGTTCGAGCTGCTGCCGTGCTGGGTCGTGCAGGGAATATTTAACGCGCACTAAAGGCAAGACTGTGACTTGCTGTCTGGCTCCCCTCCAGGCGCAGCGCAATCAGCAAGGAAAAAAGGGGAGGAGGAGGGAGGGGGTCAAAAGAGAGCCTCGAGCCTAATATATGTGGAGAAAGTCTCACAGTCTCAAAATAAATAAAATGAAGGCCTCACATCTTTCTTTTCTCTCTCTCTCTGTGTGTGTGTACTTCTGGTCTTTACCAGCCCTGACTCATAATCCAGCAATAAGTGTTGTTTATGGAGCTTTGTCTCGGGTCAGAGGTCTGTTTTGCACATTTGTGTCTCATTTAATCTTAGAATTGAGCTTAGAAATATCAGACATGATTTGTTATTCAATACATTTTGGCTTATTTAAATATGAAGCGACCCCTGTGGTTGGCTCCCCTGTAAAGACTGGGATAAATGTATGTGCACTTTGCAGCCAAGAGCTAAGAATCCAAGGCTGTTCTGACAGCACTGCACCGTCCACACGATCAAAAGGCCACGTGACAATTAACCATTGACACGCAAGTCAATGGAACCCACGGAATATGATTGAAAACCATGGTGCAGAACACTCCAGTCAATACCAGGACCGATAGCCTTCTGTACTGGTTACTTTCCTGCGCTGTGTGACCTGCATGGCTAATTAACTTTGTTTTGAAGGGAACGCAGCTTCGCATCCATCATTAACCCTTTAATGCATTGACTTTTTTTTTTTTAACCTATGGAAAAAGTGATTCAAAGTGACACTTTGTGTCACAGCTGAGCCACGCCTCTCTTACCTCATTGGACAGAATACTGCCATTGGATATGATGTCCGGCTGCTGGTCACTGTACCCGGTGACGATGGCACCACAGGGGTTGGTGTGATCCGTGTCCGTGCTGCGGGATGGGCTGCATGGTTTGAGGAACATGAGATCCGTTTTGGCAGACTCAGGTGTCAGACACACCTGGTAGCAGTAGGAGTTCTGGTTCTGGTGGTGATGGGAGCCGAAGCCCCCTCCCACACCGCCCACACCGGATTCCTCCACGGGCACCTGCCCCACGGGTCCGACCCCTGATGTCACATTGGTGCTCTGAACTAACATGATGTCAGATTTGCTCAGCTTCTTCTGCTTCCGGCTTCGAGCTTGTCTGCTGCAGCAGGGGCTGCAGCACAGGCAGCAGTCACCGGCCAGCAGGCATGTGTACAGGTTCAGAGTTTTGTCCTTTTGGCAGCGCACGGCCAACACAATCATGGCCAAGAGGAAGATGAAGGAAACGGAGCCAAGAGCAATGATGAGGATGAGGGTAAGGTCAAGGGACGTCTCCTTTGCCCTGGAAGGCGAGCCGCGGTCCCCGCTGCGCCCTTCCACCACGCTGTCCACCAAAATTACACTCACACTGGCGGAGGATGAGAGAGGGGGCTGCCCGTGGTCCCTCACCTCTATCAGGAGGTCGTAGTAGCCCTGTATGTCCCTCTTGGGAGAGATCCTGCGGGATGTCCTCAGCTCACCTGTCCTCCAGTCCATGCGGAACATTTCCACCTCGTTGCCCCGCAGGATGCTGTACGACAGGCGTGCGTTCTCGCCGTCGTCCGCATCCATGGCCACGATGCGCGTCACCAGGTAGCCCGGCTCGGCGGAGCGCGGCAGGTGCTCTTTGGCTGTGCCATTTTTACCCAGAGGCGCTATGACAGTGGGCGCGTTGTCGTTTTGGTCAACTATGATGACATTTACGGTGGCGTTGGAGAAGAGCTCGGCGGGACCCGAGTCCTTCGCCTGCACCATGAAGCTGAACTCCTTCAGCTGCTCGTAGTCGAAGGAGCGCAGCGCGTAAAGGTAGCCGGTGTCCTGGTTTATGGACACGTACGTGTCCACGGACATGCCCTGTATGTCACACTCCAATATGGAGTAGATAATGAGAGCGTTCTGACCTACGTCGGGGTCCAGAGCGCTCACCGCGTGAATGAAAGCACCGGGCACGTTGTTCTCGGTCACATACACATCATACACCGCCTGCGTAAAGCGCGGCGCGTTGTCGTTCTCGTCGGAGACGTGCACTTTAATGGACTTGCTGGTGGCCAGTGAAGGCTGACCTTTGTCTTTGGCCACCACCGTGACCATGTACGAGTCCACGCTCTCTCTGTCCAGCGCCCCGTCGGTCACGATGGTGTAGTAATTCTTGAAGGAGGATTTCAGCTTGAACGGAACGTCTCCCAAAATCTCACACGTCATTTGTCCATTCTCACCGGAGTCCCGGTCTGAGACGCTGAACAGGGCGATCACGGTGCCCGGCGCGTCCTGCTCGCTCACGGACTCGGTGACGGTGCTGAAACCGATCTCCGGTGTGTTGTCATTAACGTCCACCAGTTTGACCAGCACTTTGCAGTGCGCAGGGACCGCATTGGGCCCCAGGTCTTTCGCCTGGACATAAATCTGGTGCGTACTGCTCTCTTCATAGTCCACCTCTCCCACCACTTCTATTCTACCTGTTCTGGCATCGATACTGAACAAGTCCTTTATCCGTGGAGCGTTGTGGCTGCTGAAAGAATAAACTATTTCCCCGTTTTGTCCCTCGTCCACATCCGTTGCGTTCAGCTGGATAACCAGGGTGCCCACGGGCGAGTTCTCCCGCAGGTTAACGGTGTACACAGACTGGTCAAATGTCGGTGCGTTGTCATTAGAGTCCAGAACTTTAACGACCAGCAGAGCCGTCCCAGTCCGCTGAGGGACGCCCCCGTCCACGGCGGTCAGCACGTAGCGGTGCACCGCCTGCTGCTCCCTGTCCAGCGGCTTCTCCAGCACCAGCTCTGCGAACCGGTTGCCGTCGCTCTGCGTCTGCACGTCAAGGTAAAAATAGTTGTTATTCGTTATGGCATAAGTGCTGAGCGCGTTCGTGCCCACGTCCGGGTCGAACGCGTTCTCCACCGGGAAACGCGTCCCGGGGACGGCGCTCTCTGTTATCTCCACAGAAATGTCCGTCTCCGGGAAGCTGGGCGGGTTGTCGTTGATATCCATCACGTCAATCTCAACCCGAAAGAGCTCCAGCGGATTCTCCAGGAACACCTCCAGGTGCAATAGGCACGGGATGGTCTGCTTACAGATTTCCTCTCGGTCAATTTTCTCCTTTACCACCAGAGCACCGTTTTCTAAGTTCACCTCCAGGTACGGAGTCCGTGAACTCGGCACAGTCTGAAAGCGACGAGCGGAAAGTTTGGTGATGTCCAATCCCAAATCCTCTGCAATATTTCCAACCACGGAGCCAGGCTCCTGCTCCTCTGGCACGGAGTAATGGAGCTGGGAAACAGCTCCATCCAGGATGGAGAGCAGGAAGATGAACCAAATCATCTCCTCTCTCTCTCTCTCTCTTTCAAAGTGCACTTAAAGACGAAATTAAAAGAAAAACAAGGAAAAAAAAAGAAAATGCTGAGCGTTATTCCTCCCTCTTGCAGGAACCGATCATCTCCTATGTCCGTAAAAAGGCAGTGGAAATAAGAGCAACAAGACTGTGAGAGCGTGAAATTCCTCCCTTTTGCTGCGGGTCAGTGTAGCACTGTGTGGTTTCAGCTGTGAGAAGCACGGCCATTTGATCCGACACTTCTCTCTTCTGATCAATTCTGCAGCGGTCTGTGAGTTGTTGCTGTTTTTTTTTTTTTTCTTTTTTTTTTCCTGGCGTCGGTGCAGAACCACGCAGAACGAAAAGCCAGGACGCGCAGCCAACACTCCCAGTGCGCAGAGCAGAATGTCCTCTCTCCAGAGGAAAAGGGGGGGAGGCGGTGTGGAGTGGGGGCGGCGGCGGGGTGGGGGGGGGCGCCAAGCCAAATAGACAAAGTCCACACGAGCAAAAAGTGAACGAGAGACAGCCGCAGCCTCGCGTCCACGCCGCAGCAAAAACGAAAAATCGCACCGTGAACTGCAACTTCGGAGCAGAGACTTAGTGCACACCCAGACTTTCTCTGTGTCTCTGTTGAACGAGGATGTAATCGCTGCGCCTAAGCGCTCAAAGCGGATGATGTTCTCAGCTCGGCTTCTGTGAGGCGAGTGCGAGCAGCGGGGATGGTTTTGCGCACAGCTCCTTCCCCCACCAGCCAATGGTGAGCTCAAACAGCGGGTGTGATGGCACCTGATTGGGGCTCCGCGACGCCATCCAGCGCACACGCAGGGCCCCTGATGATAAAACCAGAGGCACCGCGCTCCTCTCCTCTGCTCCTCTCCTCTGCTCCTCTCTCTTCCTACCTCAATTGCAGCAGAGTTAAATTAAAATGTTTTACACACCCAAGTGAATGAAAGAAGCCGAGTAGTCCCGGCTGTCTGTGTGCTACGTCGCATCTCATTATTAACAATTTTATAAATAATAATGTTTAAAAAAATGCATACTTTTTATATTAGATTTGACCTTTTATTTCGTCATATTTTCCAAACATTTCACAAGGTTGATAGAGAACTGGAGTCACACGTGTGTCACTGGTGTTGTTCCACAGTCTGGGATCCAAACTGTCCTCTGATACCCGTGAGTCACGAGTATAAGGTGGCAGCAGCCAAATTCCTAAATGTAAAGAGCCTGCGCAAGTAAAGGCAGCGGTGACGCAATAACACCACCGTGCCATGCCCCCCTGCTCCCCCTCCATCCCTCCTTCCTTCTGCTCTCTCTCTCTCTCCTCTCCTCTTCTCTCTTGAAGACGATCATGCAAAAGAAAAAAGAAAGAAAAAGAAAAAAAACAAAACAATGAAAGATTTCAAATCCAGTCTTATCTCCACAGAGCTCAGTGTGAAAGTGAGCGTCAGTGTGATACGAGGTTCCGCCAGTCGGAGCAGAATCACACTTGACTTACTTTAATTCAGTGTAATGAAGCATCATGCTCTCGTCCTGCCGTGTTGCTAATAGCCTGCAGCCTATTAGTTCCTCTATCTTCCCAGTCTTATCATTAACCCCCTCACATGCTGGCCTCAACTGTAACACACTTGCATCACGCGCTAATTTAATTCATAAGGCATAAATTGACTATGCAAATGGCACCGCGGTACGAAGAGGGGAGACGGGGGGAAAAACAATGGGAATTTGGCTCAACTTTGCACACTTTTGGGGAAGGTGGTGTGCGGGGGGTGCAGGGTGGAGGGTAGTTTTAAGGAGGAAGAAAGGAGACTGGAAGCGGACACGTATGTGATTTTAGATGCGAAGTGTTTCGGCGCAGCAGCGAAGTCGTGCGTAACGCGGAGCGACGTGTCCGCTGTGCGTTGATTAGCACGAAAGATCCGCGTTTCTGCTCGTCGCCACACCAATGGTGGAGAGACAGTGGAGAGACGTTCTGTGGATTAGCACCCGTGTCTGTGCAGGAGCATGTGTGACCGAATCGAGCTGACACTGGAGTCAGATCCTGGAGCAGCACCTCCTCTCCTTCCCTCTCCTCTCCTCTCTCTCCCCGCTCCCTCTGTCCCTGACTGGGTGTTACAGAGACCAACGTCGCCCCCTCGCGTCTGTCTTCTCCTCTTTTCAAGTCCTGGAGATGAAGAACTCGAAGACACTCAGGTCTCATCTCTGTTGTTTTGTCTTCTGTGGGCGTTTAATGTTTTTTTTTCTTCTCCGCACCTTGACTCAGTTCTGACAGCATCCTTACGGTATTTCGTCTTTAAAAAACAGATTTTCCTTTGACATTTGATACTGCTTTATACAAGACACCCGTCCTATATTTTTAAAGCTGCAGCACAGCATTTTCAATACTGTTGTTGTGAAAGCCAGAGTAAACAATTTTGTGTAAAGTAAAAAAAAAAACATATCAGACTTCCTGTAGTGCAGATATAGACAGATATAAACACAACAATGTTTCTCAATAATGCACTTGAACCTGTCAAATAAGGTTCGACTTAAACAGAAAACTTATGCTACAACATTTTAAAATGTGGAACTTAAAAAAAAACATGCCTTGGAACTGTTATAATATTTCAAACTAAAAAAACCATACCTTGGAACTGTTATAATATTTCAAACTAATTGCAGGATTTACTTAAGTTTTAAGATAATCCCAGAATAAGACCCGCTTTGACAGGTAACATGTGGCGTAACTGCCTTAACCTTAACGATCTGCCTGGTTCGTTAACACTAACGTTAGCTAGCTAAGGCTTAATGTTCTGACATTAATTAACACACATCAACAGACAAACTAGATCGATAACCTACGTCAGCAGGTTGCCTTCTCGGAGGAACCATGAAAGGTTTCATTCTGTATTTTTTCAGGAATATTGCTCTATAAGAGAATGAACAACATGGTGCCCCAAGTGGCAGACATGTTTGCTCACATCTTAGCCAACTCCGCAGCAGCATTCAGCAAACTTTTTATTATCGCCTACAGACTGTACTCCCATAATAATACCAACATGTGGACATTTACGCCCGGAACAAGAACACCCAGGTCCACCCCGGATGCTGTCACTGCTGCACTCCACTACTCCCTCCCTTACCTGGAAAGAAGGATTCCCACACTAGGATACTCTTTATTGGCTACAGTACCTGGAAAGAAGGATTCCTACACTAGGATACTCTTTATTGGCTACAGCTCGACCTTCAATGCACAAATTCACCCATAAACTGCTCACACTTGGCCTGCAACACCGGCGCCCCCTAAGGCTGAACACCCTGTTCACCCATGACTGTGTCGCCACGCACGAGGACAACATCCCACACTGCGGTGATTGGCCGCATCACTAAGGGGCGATGAAGCAGCCTACGAAGGGAGGCGTGATGACAACAACCTCTCCCTGAACACAAACAAGACAAAGGAGACAATGGTGGACCCGAGGAAGGGGAGGAGAACTCACCAGGACACTCAACACCTCACTCTATTTCCTGAGGAGGTTAAAGAATGTTAGCACGTCGTCCAGGATCTTTGACAACACCTGCATCATAGCTAGGTATGCCAACACTGCTAACGAGAGTGGTGAAGAAAGCCGGGAGGAGAATCAGGACACAAATAGAAACATTTAAATAACACAGATTGAAGCGCCATATTTACGGGCAACAAGTATTAACATCATCGTAAATTGACGATAACCCCCGACCTGCTTCACATTAATGTATTTGCCGTACTTTCTGGTTAGTCCAGATAGTTATTTTAGTCCGATTTTCCTCTGCTCTTTCCACTGTGAACAAGTCAGGGTTCAGTGTCTTGACCAGGGAACCTCTGACACGTGGCAAGAGCTTCCGGAGATTGAACCACCAAACACTGTAATTACTGTGTGACCCAGGACACATGCTGTGATCCAGTACCAGTGAAATCTGCGCAGGGTTACAATTTGGCTCAAATGAGTGCAGGATAAAGGACATGAAGCAGCCACTCAGATAATCAGCATGTGCCCAAGTAGGTTGAGGGTAATGACGAACTTGTGCACAATTGACTACAGTTTCCTTGGAGAATATAGAGAAATCATCAGCTCCTTTCAACTCTACAGCCCAAGAAAAACATGCAGTGTATTATTTATGACATATTGCAATTATGCAAAAATACAAAACTCCAAGAAAAGTCGGGCGACTTCCATAAAAAAGGGAAAAATCTTGTTTCCTTTCAGCGTCTCGGACATGCCAAATGCCTTGAAGCATTAGCGTTAGAGGGTTCCCAGTAATAAATTGATTAATACGAACCAATGACCCAAGCAAGAATGGAAATTCTGACATTTTTTAGAATGAGCCTCGTTTGCTTTCTCGCCAAAGGGGCTGAACAAAACAGCCACACCACTGTCACACCTCCGGCTTCAGTTTTTTGTGTTTAATGCAGAAATAAGAGAGCAAGACTGCTCTTATTACACGGCCCGTGCCAAGATATAAAATAAATGTACTTCCTAAAATGTCAGCTAAGCTGTAAAGGGCCTTTACATTAAATCAATGCTGTGTCCATTGATAAATAACTTCCGAGCTTGAAATTAGGGAATTTGTCATCATGAATTATTATGTCTGTACCGAAGCCCACGGTAACATTGACCCCTTGACAAAGACTGAGCAAAGACCCAACAACAGCATGATAAATATTGTGCTATAAGGTAGTAGTTTACTATCCGGAGTCCAAAGACATGAAGGAAAAGGGTAAAGGTTTACACTAAATTCAGTATGTGAATGTCGGTGTTAATGCTCGTACAGTATGTCTCCGTATGTGTCCATGCGATGGGACTAACTTGGCCGTTGTCTGTCGGTTTTGGCACCCACTACTACTGCAACTCTAAAAAGGATTGAGCAGTCCTGTGGAACAGCGCCCCCTAACGTTTTTTGTATCAAGGACCGGTCGGCCGGTATCAGCCGTTACTGTGGACCAGTAATACCGCAGCAACGTTTGACTTTGTTTAAAATGATTTTTTTTTAAAAAACTCTGCTGGTGAGCTTTGTTTAAAAAGGTGGAAAGGCCTAAAGATGTGTCAGACGAAAAACTGCCACTAAAATACAAAAATACCAAAATGTACCCACTGAGATGGCATTATGGGGAGTTGTATTATATCAATGTTTTCCAAACTTGGGGTTGCGACCCTGAGAGGGGCGGCCTTGGATTCAAACGGGGTCACCTGACTTTATTTGATAAAAAAACATACTGATAAAAAATGTTCTTAAGTAATTACTATTTTTTTCAGTAAGTACTAAGTTTCCATCCACCAACAGTAAGAATTCAAGTTTTTTGTGATTTTATGAGGATTTAGTGCTGACCTATTACAACTAAGCCCTCATTTCCCTGTAGTCTTATTCCCAGTGGCACCATATCATATTTTTTTCACCACCATCTTGAAAGTTTCCGTCTGTATACTTTGTATAAAATATATAAATCAATTTCAGCTGTCTGTAGACTGGTCTCTGTGCAAAAAGCGAAAAAGTACAGCTTGGCAGATGCAGCCCTGTGGGTTTCCCACATTAGCACCCACACTGCTCTGGCGGATGAGAGGGTTTTAAGAATAATATACAGTCCTCCGCAAATCAATACTCTGGTTAACAATGTTTGGCTGCACTTCATTTCTGCTTGTTTCCTCGTGACTAAGAGCAACATCAGCGGTCATTTTCCCTTCATTCCAGGCCCATTTATAATTCATTGACTTCAAAAATGACAAATGGGACATAATTTTTGACAAATGATATCATAACCAGCCGTGATGTGTGGGGCTAACAAACTGAGGCTGGTCTGTAGGTAAAAGCTCAGTAGGCCATTAAAATTTCATAATGTGAACAAAAAGGCAATTAAGATATCGTTAAGGAGGTTAGCACCCAGAGGATATACCTCAAGCCCATAACTGCCCCCTCCGAGGGCCCTGCAGCCCTGTCGCTGATTAGAAAATGAACAGGAAAAAAATAAAACTCCAACTGCGTCCGAGCACAATCACAAACAAAGCAGTTGGACAAAGACGTCACCGATGCGTCAACGAGGGTCTGCGCTGTTTTCAATTTTAGTGCACAATCACTCAGCCAAATTACTGTGAGCTCGGTTTAAATGTACTCCGTGGTCATCAGTGGTGGAAAGAAAAAAAAAAAATCTTAATTCCTCCTTTGTCAACTCATTGGCTCCCAATGAATCCCCAAGACAGTCAGAGCCACATAAACGATAAAAAAGGCCAGCAGAACAGGTCAATGAGCAAACAATGTAAATGAGCGTCGGCCTCACTGTTGCAATAATCAAGGTTGTGAAGAAAACCGATCAATACACTGCAAACATATATATATATATTCTCTTGTCTTTGTGGTTTGGATCAGCCTTTTTTCCCCCCCGAGTTTGTAAAAAGGGAATGTGCAAAGATCATGGATACAGATGTACATAATTTATCAGCCCTTTAACCTCAAACGCCTGTGATCAAGCTTGTTTGTACCACTTGGCCTCCTGTAATTGTGTTAGCACAGAGAGTGTGGCGCGGTGCGAGCTGGACGCGGCCGCGTACAAAATAGATGGCTGCGCCCTCAGCCCAAAGTGACTGTGTGTGTGATCACTGTCTGTCTGAGACAGCTGCGGGGTGACTCTCTGCCCCGACGGCCATTACTCAGTCTGATGGATGGAGGGATAGTGGGGGAGTGGTGGTTGAGAAGAGGCAAGGGGTTGTGGGAGTGAAGGAAGGAGAGACAGTGCTTAGAGCAAGGATGAGGGAGAGAGAGAGAGAAGACGGGGCGGGGGGAGGGG